TAAGACATTCACTAGTGCTCAGTAACAGCTGAGTTAATAAGTATGAAAATATTTAGTATATAAGAGGAAATGCTCTGTGCTGGTATACTTTTGCATTTCTAAAATTTCTACTGAAATCAGGGAGGATTTCAATGCCATTCTCAAAATTACTGGGCATCCTTTATGCGAGTTTGCCATACTTTTCTGCTTGTGAAGCAAAAAAGTGAATGTGCTTGTGAATGGAAATGAGCAGTAACTATGAAAGCACAACACAGATAAGCTGTCCACTGGCTAAAGTCACTATATCTCGAGTTCAGCAGTCCATCTGTCCCTCAAACCTTGTTTTATGGCTGTTGCTTCCAATCCAATCTCTATTTGTGACAAGTCCAGTGAAGGTACCATAAATCCCAGCAGTGTTGTATGGGGCTGAGCAGAGGGAGACCGATGTTCTGAGCAGCTCTGCTTAGGGGGGTCTCACCTGCATCAGGTTGAAGGGAACAGTGTAGCTGAAATGTAAATGTGAGCTGCCTTTCTAAAACTGGGCAAGTCTGTGAACCACCACTTTCCAAGCTATATTTTGAAAATGCAAGCAAAAATTATTTGTAACTGCAACCATTTCCCTGTTTTCATTCAAAATGCAAATTCATATAATTAAATTATTTCACTGATTTTTCCTGCCCAAACTGAGACACAGAAGAGAGGTATTGTTATGACTCTGAGATTAGCTCAGTTGGTTAGAGCATGGTGCTAATAGCACCAACATCACGGACTCCATCCCAAGCCTAGACCATTAATTTAAGTGTTGGACTTGATGATCCTTGTGGGTCACTTCCAGCTCAGAATCTTCTGTATTCTGTGAATATATGCTAAAAACCCCTTATCTGTGTCAGTATATCTGTTGATATGCTGTAACATGTTTGATTGCCATTAAGTGCTGCAAAAATTAGGATCTGTGATTGTCCCACCTCTAAAGTGACAGATGTTAATTGGTCAGATGTGTGAAGGTTGTGGGTGTGCACACAGATATGGATACATGTATATGCTTATGAATGTAAAGTATATAAAATTATGTGAAATAAAATATGGAGCAGGTTAAGCTTGGAATGACCACAAGCACAATGAAATCACAAGTGAGTTATGAGTACCAATAAAACTTTTATGCAACACCATATTATTATGTCTTCTGCATCTGCTGTGTCTTCAATAGAAAATCTACTTTAGAAATGTCATGTATACCATTTTAGAATTATATGGTAGTATTTATTGTACCCTTTCATCTATAAAAGCCAGACCACCTTTATATCAGTCCATCTGGAAAGGCCCTAAAAGGAAAAATAAAATATATTTTAGAAACCATATCTAAAATAGCATTAGTCTTCAAGCCATTGAGTATCCTGTTTATATGGTCCTGCTTCTCAGAATTATCAGGACCTATCAGCTGGAAACCTCCAAGTCTTCTTTAGAGGACTCTGTATATGGAAATTATATGAGAAATGTCTTCTTAAGGGAATGCAAGAAGTTTCACCACTGTATGACAGCATCATCATTTTACTTTGTACGCTGATCCAATTGTCTTAGCTACTCTCCCTTCTCCACAGGAGTCAAAGAGGGATATTTATATCAAAGAGCAATAGTTATATCCCTCGGGTGTATTTCCCATTGTTACTCTCTTGTTGGTACTGTGGATATTATATGTAGTTTTGCTTGACTGTTGGGGGATCTTCTCTGTCATTTGAGAACTCTTAAACGTGTGGTGCTTGCTTTCTTGGTGCTTTCTGACTGTTTTTGAAAGCCACTTAGTAAACATGTGTATAGTTTCCCACACTTTAATTTTTCTTATTAGCAGAAGAGCCTGTGTATTTCTAAGTTTTTGCAGCTTGATACTTAACAAATTCATTTATGTTCCAAGAACAACCTCTAGTTCCAGGTATCATATGACAGGAAACAAGATGAATTTTGGTCCTGTGTCAGCATCACTGCTTTCTGTTGAGAGAGTTTCACACTCCTCTTTTCTAGCATCCTCTTGGGATTATTAGTGCCAGTACTTTGCTTCATTAAGAGCATCTGACAAAGAAGCTGATGTTGCCTATCAGAATCACAGGTGCCAGAAAGGATTAACAGCCATGTTTAGGTCGTATCTAATGAATTCCTGCATCCTGCTGAGGAAATCACTGCTCCCAAATTAAGGACCCATTTTATCAGCATAACTGCAGTGTCCAACAGTACAGTGTATTTCTCTGGTGGAATTACATGGAGTAGAAATTAGGACTTGTATGCACATATCCACATACGCTCCTTCTTAATTTAGCTTGATGGCACTAGTACCAAGTGCTCCAAGTTTCAAATTCCTTTACTTGATTCACCCTATGAAGCTTCCACAAATGACAATATAACAAATGGTTGGGAGAAAAAGTGAGTTATTCTCAACAATGTTTCTCAAGAGCTTCTTTTGTTTATCATGTCAGCTCCCCATCCCTTCTACATTTTTTGTTGTATATGTTTGAATAACCATAGGTGGCTTTCAAATATTCCTGTTTGCTGACTCACTTTTCAGCTTAACTGACTTCCATTGCAAGCTATTACTGATCCAGTAATGTTTTACGTAAGTTTACATTCCTGAATATTATTCAGTTTGGACAATCTCCTGAAGCCTCTATAGGACTTGTAAACTTGTAAACGGATATAGAATTTGGTGTTTCTAAGGAATATTCTATCACCATTCAATTTCTAACATTTTTCAGTTTTGGAAGTTGCTGAGACCTGTAATTTTTCTGATTTGTTTTACTAGGGATATTTAATAATCTCCCATCTTATGTAGGGCTATAATTAAGTGCTTTAGGAAGAAAGTGTGGACCTCTTGGTGCAAACTTTCAGAACAGATATATAATCTCAGTTTTTCTACTAACTTGATTTGGGGCCTTGCATTCTCAGGCTTGGCTTCTGGGGAAAAAAAGGTGGTGACAGGCAGAAAAGGCCATATCTTGTGCCATGAAATTGAGCTTTCACTTGAAAGCAATGGTGCAGAGACATTTGTCTGCCTTTTCCTTGTATCGCTGTTGTATATATTTAACTTGTGAGGGCATATAACTTCCTTGGAATTAATTGGACAGTTCATACCTCACAGAATTGTAGCTTCCCGTATGTCTGTGTATACATTAAATACTTTTATCTGTTGTATTTAATCCATCTTTTGAGGGATATCCATGATGGTAGAGATCTAAAATTTGACATTCAAGAGAGATGCATCTACAATGAGAATTGTGAAGTCTTATTTTTCAGGTACTTTTTTTCTAGAATATAGTTTACAAATCAAGGTGCTAGCATTCTATATAGAGTTTATAAACCCAAGTATGTACTTTACTGTGTCATTCAGTAGGATTCTATATCTTTACCTGTGGGTAAGAATGTGCTGTTTCCTCCCGTATTTTTATTTCACCATTCCTATTTCTTAGCCAGACTGTCTTTTTAAATGTAATTGCTATTGGTGTGGAATTGTAGGGAATGTAACATGTTAACCATACTAAGGGAACTGTCATGGAGGGATTTCATTTGTGTGTTAAGGGCCCAGCTGATATGCCCTTCCAAGTCTGAAGTGGCAGAGATGGCTACAGAAATGCAGGTGGTTATGAATATTAAAGCAAGAGAAACTCTTCACTTTATTCCCAAGTTAGAAAAACAGGTAAATAGTGCTCTTAGCTTCATGGTGTTTTATCTGCATGCCTCAATGCTACTGATTCACTTCATATGTCAGAGTGCTTTTGTAGATCTCATCATTATGACTTTTTTGTTGATAAAGGCAAGGTTTCAGGAAGGGTTGTGGAAGCTGGAGGGAAGTATTTGTTATTCCATTATATACTGGTTATATTCTACTTCTGTGGTAAAACAACTACTAGCTAATGGAATTGTGGCTTTAACTTAATTAAATTAGTAGTTAAACAAATAAAACAAGGGAAGGATAGACCCTTAATGAGGTACAAGAACAGTTTCTACTCACCTTGCACAGTGATGGACGGACACCAGCCCCAGCATCAGCACCAGCCTGAGTCTACCAAGGCAGATGTATTGTGAAGCTTATGATATCCTGAATCGAACACTTTACTTTGTGCAAAAAAAAGAAATAAGCCCCCAGGTGTTAACCACTGTCATCCCACTGCATTCAGGAATTTTACACCAATTAAACAAAGAGTACAGGAGTAAAATCTGAGTTATTTTTATGTGTTCTGTATTGGTGGTAGCAAATGATACATTGATAAACAGGACTAAATTAATGTCTTTGTATTTCCAACAGTTCAGTGTAAAGCAGAAGGTCCTTTCTGATGAAAAATTTGTCAGTCTGCCATGTATGTGGTAGTGAATTACAGTCAGAAATGGGAATCACATAACTATGTGAACAGCTTTCTCGCCCCACTGACAAAGTTTATTGCTTCCACTGCAAAGACAGTTGAACAACTTCTAAGCAACAGCTTCATGAAACAGAGGAATTTTCACATTATTACACCAGACTTACACTTCTGTGTCTCAGCAGTTAGTGTACAACCTGTTTGGTCATCTTGGCTGCACTGCAGCTCCAGTCTGAGGTGGCAAACACTTGAATAATCTGTTTTTAACCTTCTCCCAAGACTCAGAATTTGACAAAAATTAAGGCAAAATTGGCTTACAGTGAGTCAGGAGAAGCAACGGCACCTAGACAGATAAACCCCATATGTACACAGTATTCTTGGGATTTTTTTCTTGAGACTGACAGCAGACAAGGAAAAGGCAGGCTAAAAAGGAAGTGGGTAAAGTGATTTAAGAGTAGTTACATACTATGTCAGCTAACACTGAAACTTAAATGTTATTGTTAGTTTCAGTCATTCAAGTGTGAAGTACCATTTTATATATCCTGAAATTTGTAGATCCATATGCAACAGCATTTTGAAAATGTGGTAATGTGAAGAAAAGACCAGCAGTGAAAAAGTAAATTGGTTAAATGTGACAACACTAATACTGATGAATGTTCTACTTTCTTTATTTTCTTTCAGTTTACAAGCTTTGAGGAAGGAAAAGTCCCGTGATGCTGCTCGCTCTCGCCGGGGAAAGGAGAATTTTGAATTCTACGAGTTGGCAAAGTTGTTGCCACTGCCTGCAGCCATTACCAGCCAGCTTGACAAGGCATCCATCATCCGACTTACAATTAGCTATCTGAAAATGAGGGACTTTGCTAATCAAGGTGATCCTCCATGGAACTTGAGGATGGAAGGACCTCCACCTAATACATCAGTAAAAGGTATGGAGTAAATATTGTTGTGTACTATAGAATATGGCAGCCTTTAGTAACCTCTACATTGAAATTTTTACCTTCATCCTTTCTTCTTTCCCTGCATATCAAATCCTTTAAAGGGATTCAAATGTGGAAATCTGAGGTCTGCATGAGAAAGACACCATGTGAAGGTGAAATAAACCTCTTATTTTAATTATTTTTTATTTAACAACAAACCTGTGATGTAACTATTACAGCTGTAAGTCTTCTGGGTGATGTAGACTAAATTCTTTCAAGTTATTTACCTGTTATTGTGTTGCTTTGTTTTAGTATTTTATATAAGTATATGTTTGAGAGGAAAATTACATTATTCCTTGATTTGAGAACTCAGTCTCTTAATTTTCTGGCTATACCTTAAAGGTAGAATCACATATTTCTGAAGTTTGAAAGCATCACATCCAAATACTTAAATCTTCAGCTGAGAGACTAGGATATTATTTATCTTCTTGTAATGGCTATAGAAATTATTTTGACTTCTGAGCCAGTAGGTATTTATCAACAAAATAGACTGTTTTCAGTATTAAAACATCTCTTTTCATGCTCAGACAAGCAGTTGGGACCAAAAGCAGTGTTTAGATGTGAGTTGCCACAAAATAGAAGCTGTGTGTATGTAAGCTCCTAAATAGTCTTTCCAATGACCTCTGTAAAGCGGACTTTTTTGGTAATCTCATTTTTTCGACTAATGCAACCCATCTGTATGAGTGTCATCTCTGTCTGATTAGTGTTTTAAATTAGGGAGTAAGTTGCAGTAACAGAAATCAGGGTTACCAAACCTGAGATTTGTGGGTGTCCTAGTTTTGACAGCACAGAAAACTCCTTTATTTTTGCTTCTGCTCTCACATTTTGAAGGAAACATATATTTGGAAGAGGCATATGAGATTTGAGCACTTCAGGTTTTTTCCAGGAATCATGAACTATAATCTATTAATCTACATTAAACTAGATAGAATGTAGGTAGCATGAGGCAAACAAAGAAGCCACCTCTAAGGGTTGAGGGAGGAAGTAGAAATAGAATCTTGTTTATCAGCCCACAGCTGTCCATGAAGAGTTACTTGTATTGATGGTGCAGAGGGCTTTTACCTGCTCTTCCATTTAAAGGAAGTGATATTATTTAAGGAAAGTTAAAATTTTAAGTGGGTGGAGAGAGGTATGGAGGGCAAAAACCAACACAGATTCAGATTGAGGATTTAGTAGCTGGACATAGTTCCATCATTTCATGTATTTAATTTATATTATCTGCCACATCATATATAATTCTCATGGAGATAAAAAAAAGCAATAATTACATCATCCAAGGCATGAGTGTAACATGGTTCATTAGGCTTCTGATATAATATGCAAATGTTCCCCATTTTTGCAGGATGAGAGTTTATTCTCAGGCAATTAAACATTTTTTCAAGGTAGATGTCAAGTGGACTCTGCTGTTCAGTCTATGATCTGTCTGTGCTTCTACAAGATGTCCTGTGTTACTGAAACTCTGAGCTCTGCCAATCTCTGTATATTTTCAGAGTATCTGGGATTTATTTTTCATTATCCTCTTCAGGATTATATACCTAAATACAGAATCTTCCTTTTTGCGTAAAAATTCTAATGAAGAGAAGAATTTTAAGGAAAAACAAAATCTTATTCTTAGACAACATCATCAATAGTCTGATCTAGATTAATGTTTCTCCCTAAAACAGAGCTGGGTAAACATTTAATGTCTCTTCACCCTATCTGATACAATAACCCTTCCCCTCCAGCCGTGTAGTGCTATGATTCTCATTCCTTTAGGTGCCAGGGGTGTGGGGGCTCAAGAAGGGGTTTTGACATTTGTTTCTCCTGTTTGGGTGCTTATCTTAATACTAAGTAGGATTGTATTATTTATGTGCAGTACATTGAAACAGTGCTTGATGAAAGTGTGTTCCATTGTATAAGAATTCCCCATAAGCAAGTTTAACTGTATAGTACAGGTATATTTTATGACTTCACGAGTTCTCCTTACATAGAAACCAGTTAAAACATTCTGATGAAACATTCATGAAATTACATCAAAAGAAATTCAGTTTCATTTATTAAGGTTGCTTTTTGCTGCCCTTGAAGAAGTTTGTGTGTATAAACAAGCTCACATAAATAGCTTGCAGGTCCATGTGAAGTATCGATGATAAACCTACAATAAAACACTAGACATTATACTTTGTATGTGCACAAGCAATCTTCTGAATGGATTTAAAGGTATTTGGGAAATTATTTGAGAGGTACTTACATTGTAAAGGTAACTGTGATTTTTTTTTTCTTCCCCCAAATGTGTTGACCTGCTTGTGTTAATAATTCATTTTAAAAGCTTAGTTTTAAATTTTTCCCCCAGTACTGAACAGCAATTTAATAATTTTAATTCAGTATTTCAGGAAGGTCCTTTACTCTGCCCTGTATTTATCACAGCTTTTCTTAGAAGTCTGTCAAGGCTGATGAGTTTGTTTTCTTATGCCTATTGTGTAGGGATCACTAGAACTTGTGCTTGCAAATGAGCGCTCAGGTAACTCAATATAATATTTTCGGAGTCAATTACTTCATGGAAATATCTTGAGCAATTGGAAAGTAACAGATAGTTTTCTCCATTATTTTATAAATATCTGTATTGTTATAATACAGAGCAAATCTGCAATGAACATTATGCATTATTCAAGAAATGGCCAGGCATTCTCAGCAGTGTTTCAGCTAAATAACTGATGATTGTAACCTTTAAAGAAATCTCATTGTGGTGACTATTGGTAAATCATTTCTCCATTCATAGTAATCTTTATTTGGAGGCGATCTAAAAACCATTATATCTTTTATTAATCTTAAAAACAATAGCCAATGATTTGACATTTGCTAAAAATTGGAAAAAAATTTCCATCCTCCAGTACAGCAGACTTCAGTCATTTTTCTTTTGGTATATTCTCTGAGACTTTGTGTGTAGGAAATCTCAGTCCTTATAAGCAAATACACACACAGCTTAGAGTAGATAAGCGTAAAGACAGTTCTTAAAGACTGGGGTGTGATTCTATATAGAAGAAAATATCAATATGTTACTTATAGTCAGTAGGAATAAAATTTTCAGTCTTTGATAGTACATACAATGTGTTATCAATAACAGTACTATTCTCCTCTGTTTCCATCCTTCCAAAAGTCTTTCTTCCAGTTCTGCAATATGTTTTGAGGACAACAGTAAATGAGCTGCTTACCAATTTTTCGAACTAAAATGTGAGTTTTCTGAAAGTTGGCTGGAAATAGAATATTTTCATTGTATTTACTGTGTGTTCAGGCAGAAAGTGATGCCTTATGTCCCATGGAACTTGAAATCCTCTTGTGCATTCTGATACTAGGCCCTGTAGTCCTGTTCCAACATCAAACTCTTGGGAGGACCTTTGTATTTTGGAATATTGTCTTCAAATTATTGACTTTAAATTTCATTGCACTTTTAGCACAAATTGTTTCTCAAAGCATTCAAAGATCATGCAAATGTTCATGTTCTTTTCTACTTAGTCTTTTTGCTAAGCCACATGTTTTTCCTTTTTTTTTTTAAGTAGTGGAAAGAGGAAGGGAGAGGAGGACTGTGAGGCACGGTGATGTTCTTCATTATGTTGAATGTGTTTGGATGACGTAAAGTCACACTGTGTATTTTGGTTTTGGGCAATCTTTGGGACATTCGTTCTGACTCAGGACTACTGCCACTATAAAAAGAAGGCTCATGACCTTGAACAGAGTTTCCAAGTTTTGAAACAGAAAATAAATCCAGTAATCTGTGCCTAATTTTGCAAATCCTTGTCCTGTAATTTACCATGAAGGCATTGAAATAGTTGTCATATTTTAATGCTTTTATTTTACACTGAAGTGAGGTGTTAATTTCTGTCTTTGGAGATACAAATAATTTTGCAAGGCCACGAGTCTTATTTCCTGTTGAACGATGTGACATGTGGAAACTAGAATATGTAAGGCAACTTTGGATATGTCAAGTTAAAAGTGAGCTTATAATTTTTATTTTTCTATGCCAAAACTTTACGTTTTATGCTACCTAAGTAAAAAATCTCTTACGTCTGCTGTAAAAGAGATGAGTGAGAGATTGTAACAAAGGAGTGAAAAAGGATTTCAGTAAATAGTACTGACTGACTGGTACTTGTGTAAAAATGTCACTGTTAGTTTAGCCATCTCTACTTTTGGTGTTCCATATTCTGCAATTAGGTGGTTTTAAACATTTGTATTCTGGAATTAATATAGAAGGGTAGTAGGAGAAATCAGATTCTCTCAGAAGTATTTGTGATGAATTGAAATATTTCTCATCCAAATTGTTCCAGTTCAATGTAAGTAAATACAACTCTGAAAAGTTCCTTGCCATAAAGCACTCAATGTTCAAGTCTCTATTGGTAGAGACATTAAAAAAAAAAAAAGGGGTAAACACAGGAAGAAAAATTACACTTTAAAACAAAACTGCACATTTTTCCTCCAAACTAGCATGTTTTTCAAAGGTTCCATTCTAAAAATAAACCAAGTTTGTAAGTCTAGGCTGAAAATGAACTTGATGTCATATCATATTGCAGGGCTTGAGGTTGAGGAAATAAGTCCAGCACTTTGAATTCTGTGGGAAAGAAAACAAGCAATAATGATAATTGGAAAGTATGGTAATTGTTATTCCAAATGTCAAGTGGAATTACTTTCATTAATTTAAATATCTTTTTCTAATATTTTTTGTGCTAGATATGTATGCGTTTATAAGAGACGAATATTTTGTTCTCTTCTGCATGACCTCATTGTGGAAACACTTTAAATAACATTACCTGTTGTTAGCCTTTAATATTTTAAATGGAGTGTTGTCTTCTGAGCAGGAAGTGCAAGACAGTGCAAACCTTTGCCTGCTAAAACCCACAAGCCTTCCGGTAAGATCAACCTTCTGTTCTGAACCCCTACATAATTCTCTCAGGGAAACCATCTATAAGGCCAAGTAAGGA